AATATGTAGAAGTAGATTCTTTTAAAACCCCATAACTCGAACCATAGCTCTGTTACCACTTTTTAAGAATTTATAACTGCAAATATAATTAAAGCATTATAAAATGAAATAGAACATGCGCAAGATACAATATTTAATGTGGTTCGATTTTGCCTACCTCCATGAATGAAGGAAGCATAAATTCACTATAAATATAAAAATAAAAAAAATAATGCAAATTCATGATATCTCACTTATTCCAAACCCGATATATATACTCAAATTCAATGTATCCAAAAACACTCATTTAACATTCATACAAAACTATCTATGCAATATAAACTCAAAAAATTACAGAGATTACAAAAAATTACATCTTTCTAAAATAGTTCTCTCTCATAATTCTAAAGACTAAGACTTGTCCTAATTTATAGGAAAAACAAACTTGATCACTAAAATCCTTATTACATATGATTTTTTAATTAAATAAACTTAATCATTAAATAATCTTTAACTAATAGAATTATAATAAAATTCATATTAATTCTTAATTAAAATTTGAGTTCAATGTAACACTAAAGATTTATCATCCTCGTATTAATTATAACATTCAAACGAAATCATACTTTTATTCTTATAATTGAAGAGTTTTTATAATTTTAAGGGTATTGGAAAAATATAAATTCTTTATTTTATAGTAAAAGTTTAACTCCATTTTTTTAGTTTAGATATATTGTTTGTGAAAAGAAATGAAGATGAATAAATGTGTAATGGAAAAATTATGTAAATTTTTTAATTGGTTAGGGATTATAGATGAGAGGGTGAGAAAGGCCTATGAAATTATTTATTTTTTCTTACACTATATTTTCTTTTAGTATTATGTATTTTTTTATTATGTCAGATTAATATTTTAAATAAAAAAAAATGAAAGCAATAACAATAAATAATAATAATAAATACATATGTAAATAACATGAACCAACTTACTTCAACGGTTAAAAAATCGTTATTATTTCTTGGGGTTAAGAGTTCGAACACTAGCGACTGCGAAGATGATTGAGCCGGTTATTATCAAATGGTTAAAATTATTTAGAATATATATACTTTGTAATCACCTTTAAAACTAACCCTAAATTTAAGCAGAGTGATTGATGTCTAATACCTTCCACGTTTTTCCTCAAACATGCTAACATAATAGTTTCATTATTAGATAAAAATTGGTTTGATAGAGCTTTCGTTTGTATTTTTGTTAATCATGAAATGACATGCAATGGTGGTTTCTAGTATATTTTAACCAACTCAAAATCCCCATTTAGGTATGCCAAGCTTTTGGTATATTATTCTAAAATTATTTAGTTTGGTAATTTGGTTTAATACTAAGAAAGAGCATGGATAATAGAATTTAATTTTAAATGCGAGCATGGTGTACTCATTTTGTTGAATTTTAATAACATTAATTTATAATAAAAAAATATGTTGTGTGGTGTCATAATTGATGACAAATATAAGATTTTATATCAGATGATGTGAATTTAAAAAATATATTAAAAATTTTGTGTATGAAATTATAAAATTAAAAGGTGCAAAACTAAATCAATATAAATTAAAAAATGCTTAAATTACGTAAAAATTCAAAACTTTTAAAGAGTACAACCACATTCCAACTGAGACTTTCGTAAACTTCCAGTTATGATCATGACTTAAACTTTTGAGCATGACTTGGAACTTTTGCTGTGGAGAAGTTTTCAGTTTCCACTCAAGTATTGTGGAATGGTTCAGCAACCAAGACTTTCATATCATCCAGAGGTATTTGTCAAGGGTATCCTTTGTCTCCTTATCTTTTTGTCCTTTGCATGGAGAGACTCTATCAACTCATTCAAGCTCATATAGACCAAGGGATATGGAAGCCATTCAAAACCTCCAAAAAAAAAAAAAAGCCAAAGTATCTCCCATCTATTTTTCGCGGACGACATGATTCTATTTGCATAAACATCCACGGAACAACACACAATCATTCAGACTCTACTGAACCACTTCTGCGAGGTCTCAGGTCACAAGATTAGTCAAACTAAAACAACCATCTACTTCTTCAAGAACATTCCGAACTAATTACGATCACAAATAAGCAACGCGTTTGGATTCAAAGAGGTAACAGACTTAGGTAAATACCTAGGTGTTCCACTTCTTCATCACCGGGTAACCTCGAATCGTATGACTATTTAGTCCAGATGGTGCAAAGGAAACTGAATGGATGGGCAGCAAAATATCTTTCCCTAGCAGGAAGAATAACTTTGGCAAAAGCAGCGTTAGCAGCATTATCGAACTACACGATGCAAACATCTATGCTACCCCTCAAAACTTGTAAGGAGATTTAACGTCTTATAAAGAGATTTGTTTGGAGCAACTCGCCGGATAGTAAAGGTATGCATCTCGTCAGTTGGAATGACCTATGTTCGCCCACATCACAAGGTGGGATGGGTTTCCGTAAACTGAACAAGCAAAACGAAGCGTTCATCATGAAGCAACCTTATAACATCGTAGCTAGAAAAGACTCTCTTTAGGGTCGATTTCTCTGAGCAAAGTATATATGCCATGAAAGGATACCGAATGAAATTAAAAACAAAAATTGTTCAAGAATCTGGAAAGGCATTAGTCTCGTATGGAACGATGTTAAGGAAAATATCGAATGGAATGTCAGCAATGGCAGATCGATTGAATTTTGGCGAGATACTTGGATCAAGGGATCAAACCCGCTCATCATGTACGTTCCTCCCCATTTGACGCCAATGATGGGTCACGAATCGGTAGCCGAGATGTTAGACAATAAAGGCAATCGGAAATGGAATGAGTTCCAGCACCTCCTACCACTTAACATACTACTAGGGGTGGCAACAGCGATAAACCCAGGTAGTTCACTACCAGAAGATACAGTAGCTTGGAAAGCGAGCACTAACCACCGCTTCTCAATTAAATCTGCTTATGACATTCGAACGGACTACAAAGGATAAAAATATTCATGTGGCTTATATGCAACAACAAGGTAATGACGAACTCGGAGAGGGCTCGCCATCACTTCATGCTAGACGATTGATGTCCCATTTGCTTGGCGGCCCCAGAAGACATTAACCATGTTCTCCGATGGTGTCCACAAGCTTTGGCAATCTGGACCTCACTCTTGGCCCCTGGTAAATTAGGTGAGTTCCTATCTATGGATTTATGCACTTGGATCTCAGCTAACCTCTCCAACCCAAGCCAGTTCGGAATTAGCAATCAAGAGTGGGAAGTACTATTCGGCTCAATACTATGGAACCTTTGGACTAATAGAAGCGTGGTAGCTTTTAACTCTAGACTGGAGGGGACTGGAACAGTACTGGATAGAAGCAGAAGACTCACAGAATGGTGCTCGAAATCAAACCCTCATAGCCAGAGCTCTCCCAGGCACGCTGGAACTGGACAAAACAGATCACACGAGGAAGACAAGATATACTGGCTCCATCCTCCCGAAGAATGGTTCAAATCCAACATTGATGCTAGCCGGAACCCTGTGGACGGGAGTGCTTCATGCGGTGGTATTGTCCGTGACCACAATGGGAAATGGGTGAAAGGTTTCTCAAAATATATAGGAATATGTTCCGTAATCGAGACCGAACTATGGGGAACCTACATCGGAAATGCTAGGGGCATGGAAGACAGGTATAACAAAGCTAGAAGTGGAAATGGGCTGCCTGGAGGCTGTACGGTTGCTTCAGAACAGGTCAGATCGTCATGAAATCATGAGTATCATTCTACATATCAAAGAGTTGGAGAAGAGAAGATGGACAGTACGTTACAAGCACACTTCACGGACAATGAATAGGGTGGCCGACTGTTAGGCCAAACAGGCATGCACAGCAGACCTAGAAGTTCACTGGCTAGCTGAGCCTCAGATTATCGCGAACCTGATCCAGGAAGAAGCATTATCCTGTAACTAAGCTTTGAAGCTTTCTCCGTTTTACTACCAAAAAAAAAACAAGTGTTCATGTAAAAAAAGTTTTAAAATAATTTTTAAATAATCAAAATAAACGCATTTAATTAACTTTAAAAATATTTGTTAACAAAATATTGTATATCAAACCATTTCACGGCCACTAATTCAGAAATATGTTTAATAATATAATTAGTTGAGCATTATAGAGAAAATAGTTGACCTAAAAATTGTCAAACTGTATTAAATTAATAAAAGAGAATGGGTGAGGACGATGAAGCAACAAAGCAACGTGGTGCTGATTAGATATAAAATTAGTTATTCCTTTTAAAAATTATTCACCATTGGGGATTAGGTTTTTTGAAGCCGATATCAAATTATAGGTAATTATTCAGTTTTTTTTATAAATAATATAAGGTAACATCTGTTTAAAAATTCTCAATCATTTGACAATAAGAAACACTTATATCCTTGTATATGCCGTGTCCAAACCCGAAACTTTAATTGATAACAAAAAATTTCTTCGTGCATTGTTATTATGATATAGGAGTTTCTGATCCGTCTGCTGCACCGGTTTGGGCAAAACCACCGAATGGGGCTGTTAAAATTAATGTTGACGGCTCCTATGTGCCGGAAAGCTGTGTATCCGCTGTAGGTGTCCTCGCTCGTGATAATACTGGCCTGGTGCTTGCTGCTTACTCTATTCCTCTTCCACCTCAGTGTGTGATTCTATTTTGGTGGAGGCTTTAGCCATCACACTTACTGTTTCTGCTCTTGCCCTAGTATTTCATCTATTGTCTTGAATGATGCCATTGAAGACTAATGGAATATATTTGCCGTTTCTTTCAAAAAATTGACTAGATCCTCTCTCCCCCTTTCTAAATTAATCATGATCTAAAATATTGTTTGATACATTAAAAATTTAAGTGTTGAAAAATTAAACAATAAAAAATCGAGTTTAAATTATAAATATGGTTTAAATATGAGATATTGTATTATTTGATAAATGTAAACTACATTGAAATCAACATTGTGGGAGCAGATTATCAAATCCTGCATGTTTACTTGCCACTTCTTAATTCACAACCATATATTTCCATACCCCAAATCTTAATGTTGCTTTCATTTTTAATCATCACATAGCTTTACACAATCTAGTTCGCCTGCAACTTGAGGTACGCAATTCGAGCAGCATCACTTATTTGTCTAACATCCTCGTACATCTTCACCGATGCCTCCGAGAACTTGTTTAATCTGTCAAGAACACGAGTCAGACTTGCCTGTATGCAGCTCAAGTTTGAAGATACATCATCATTTGTATCGCCATCTGTTAACAAGCTAAGACCGTCTTTGCTCCCCGATTCTCTGTGGGTTCCATCGACTGATTTGTCGTTCTTTTGTAGTTTGTCTACTTGTTCGTCCATTAGATGACAAATATCGGATAAGAAGGATTTGATGGCAGTGCTAAGTTCCTCAGCTGGCAAGGCTTTTATCCCAGCTGACCATTCACGGCATAGGACAAATATCGGTGGTCCAAATCCCAGATATCGATGAGGTGAGAATGGATACCGATTCTTCGAACGTTCCTGCGGCTCTTTGATGCAGTTTTGCAGCCATCCATTCAAAGCTTCCAAATAAGATGCATGACTATTGACCCAGTCGGTAAAGCTTACACCAAAGCATTCAATCTCTTGCCGAAGCTGAGCCATAATCTGCCTCCTCGTATCTCCCTGTGGCGCATCCGTTGAGTTCCTCGAATGGTATGCCAGTGAGATGGTGATATACTGTGAGTGATGGCATTCAAGCATTGCCTTCCACATTCTGAGCAATCTGCAAAGACAAGTGTTAGTTTAGTGGACACAAACGCCAATGTTTCCAGAAAAGATTTTCCAGTGCATGTGGGAGTAAAGTTTCGGTTATTCAAAAATTTATGATTTGAACGAGCTTACCCCTGAGTTAACTCTACAAGTTGTGGCAGCAACTCTTCATCCCTCATTTTTTCAATTCGCTTCGATATATTATTAACAGAATGAAGTGCCACTCTAATTCGGGAGTGTAGATCCTTTACAACTGCCCGCGTTTTATCAATCACTTGGGTGCTAAGATCTTTAGCAAACTGGTGTCTGAGCTGATTACACTTCTGATCATACTCCTTCCTGATAGATTCACTAGCCTAACAGGTACAGAGAAGCAATAAAGTAGGAGTATTGAAAGGAAACACCAAGATGACTTTAAATCAAAGTTACTAATACTGGCGGATATTGATTGAACTTTAGTGATACTCAGAACTCTTCTCTACAAGTCGGACCGAGGCATGGATTAAGTATTTGCTCATCGGCACTAGTCTAAAACTCACTTAACAGGGTTTCCATATAACTTAATCATGCTTTGCACGTTATCGAGGAAAGAAAATGTTGAAACGTAAAGCATATAACGAACATTTTGAGCCTACCAACTGAAACTTAGAAGTTTGAACCATTAGAACCGACATTTTAAAAATTAAACTAAAGAAACATTCAGAAATGATAGCAGACAGAACATGAAGACAGAAGCTAGTCATATTGGCCACCCTATGTCAGTCTTTTGGTTGGGATTTTGCACATGGAAAAATCTGGAGATAAAACATATGCACTTGACATGGTATAATTAAGCAGCTGTATCATCATCTTTCCAAGTGCATTATGCACATAACAAATAAAAAATCATGAAAAATACTAATATTTGGACATATATATGTCTGCGTATTTCTCTATTCTACTATATGAAGAAGACAAAAAATACCTTCACTTCATCGTATAGTTTTCTTTCCCATGCATACAGTCTGTCCAAGGTGGACGAATGGCTACCAGCAATCATGCAGAACTCTTCGATGAAATCACTTCCACTGTCATCAGCATCGGCCGTGGTTAGTGGGTTCCTTGATGAAGAAGACCTCCAAGATGCTGACCTCTTCCAATGTATGACTTTAGTTACATGGTGTACTGGCTCTAGCGGTCCAAGTGAAAAAAAACGTTAAACAAGTAAAAGTCCACTAAGTTGAAAAAGACTATCCTTCAATTGCCTGTATGAAATATAAATTCTTACCTTAACTAACATCAGAAAACTAATACCATAATCGGGACAAACAAAAAACAAGTAAAAATCCACAAGTTGAAAATGACTATCCTTTGTTTTTGGCCGTATGCAATACCGAGGACATACAGAAGTGAGAGCTTACCATGAGAAACCAAAGCAGTCTTCCCACGACAGCAAACAGGTTGCAAAGCTGATAGCAATGTTGAGGATCCCCCTACAACAAGTGATTTTATCTTAAGATGTTAGCAGGCGAGGAATCAGAAGCATATGACTATATGTAGCACTAGCATTGTATACATTATAAATTTTGAAGAAGAATCCAAAATTTAAAGCTCAATGAAGAGTAAAATTGTTTGTCATGGTCAAAAAGGATTACCTTCAGCTTCTAAATATCCAACCTTGATTTTGTTCGACTCAAGCATCCGAGACACTTCTCTGCCTGCTTCCGAGGCTCGGAAGAATCGATGTTCAATATCCTTTATGCTTGAAAGAAAATCCTTGGCTCTATGGGTTATAAACTCAGAAGGATCTTCTCTTTCTGCAGATAAATCTATCTCTCCCATAGTTTTTCCCCTCTTTGAACTTGATTGTTCAAGAGTACCTTTGCTCCCCAAAGTTTCACCTGGACCATTGACATTATGGTCCACTTCCTTGTCATTTGTCAGCCTAGTACCACCATTTCCTCCTAATCCAATTAAAAACATATCATGCTCCATTGAACTACGACTGTAGTTTCGAGTGGAAAGACTATCGAACACTTTGATGGCTTTTCTCTCTGATTCAGGCCACAAAGTTCCCTCAGTGAACTCATTATTTTCATCCAAATCACCATGATCAATCCCTTTACTCCTAAACTCTTCCCACCCACTCACATCCTCAAAATCCACATCAACTCCATTGTTCCCCATAAATCTAAAACTCTCACTGTCATCAACAGGGTCAAAGAAATCCCAAGAGCCTGAGGTAAAAGGAGGAGGTGGGGGTGGCGGCATAGCCATTGCCAATGAATCATCCTCCAAAGAACTACCATTAGCAGGATTCACCTTGACAGTCACAGCAGCACTATTCCCTTCTCTCATGTAACTCAAATTCGTGGTTACCGGTGAAATGGGACTCCCATTCTCCAATGGTGAATCAGAAACATCAGCTCCTAAATGAGGAGATGGTGAAGGGTATGAGGACTGGGAAGGGGTTTTCTCAAGCTCAGTAGCCGAGGTTATTACGGAAGACTCTATCAACATCTCAGCTTCAGAAAATCTTCTTAAAGCTATACCAATATTTCTAAGAGATTGAACATAAGAAACATGAGCAGCCGCAAGAGCATACCTTGAATCAATGGCTTGCTTTATGAATCTCCTTCTCTCTTTACATAGACGCAAGGCTTCATTTTTGTCGGCTTTTGAGTTTCCACTACCCATTTTTTCCCTTCACCAAGAACAAAACGATCTACTTCGTCAAATTAATCCAATTTTTCTAGCCACTAAAGAATAAGAAGAAAAAAATACCGACTTTGTGTAAGCTTAAGGAAGCCATTTTAGAAAACGAAATTCCATTTTGGTGGAGTAAAACCTCTGTCAAAACCAAGAAAACAGAGGAAAAAAGAGCAAACTTTTTCTCAGGAACAAAAGGGAACCAGTTGGAGGAAATATTTTATTACGACGATGGAGACAAGACAGAGAAATTTATTGGACTTAATAGAAGGAAAATAGCAAAGGAAAAACAACAGAGGTGTGGTAGTTTTCAATAAAGACAGACACACGAGGGAAGAAACCTCTCAGAAACAATGCAGGACAAAGAAGTGGTCAGGGCGTAATAAAATCAAGCATAGAAGCTAAGAAGAAGCCAATGGGAATTCCAAGCTCGAAACTTTTGAGAAGAAAAAAGAAAAAATTGAAGCAATTTGGAGAAGTTTACTTAGATCTGCCAGTATTAAAACTGAAAAATTTTACAGAGATTGAGAAGAAGGAAATGAGAGATGAATGAAGTAACAGAAATAAAATGAAAAGAAAAGAAAAAAACACAAAAAAATGTTGATAAAAGAGGAATCTAATATTAGTGGGGACAGAGAGAAGGAGCATTGCCTCGTCTTGTGTGATTATTTCCTCTTTCATTTCAGTTAATACTAATCATATTCAAGGCTTGTAAATTAATAAGGGTTTAGTTTCGTTAACCATCCCCTATTGTTTACTAATTATTTCATTATTGTTATGAGTATATTACGTGAATGACATTATTACTCCTATTATTGAATGTGGTTTTTTAGCATTCTTAAATAAATTGAGATCACATATATATGTGGAAGACGTGTATATATATATATATATATATATATGTCTCGTCTTGATCCTCGTACTAAGTAATGTTTATTTATTTATAAAGTTTAAATAATGAATTGCTAAATGCATTTACTGACCCAAAGAGAATGACAAAGTCAAATATACTAACTGTGAATGCTCCAATAACACTTCACGTCTCAGAAGGACAAATTCTAGTTGCTAATGGGCCTAATGCATGCCTAAAGCGTGGCAAACCAATTGGTTCCAAAGATAAGAATTCTCGAAAAAGAAAATGAGCAAAGAAGAATGATGGTTAAATCGAGGAAACAATGGTTTTACCAAGATCTCCAAAAGAGAATTTAGACATGACTGGGAAAATAGTTTCAGAAGAAACTCAAGTACCTAAAAATGAAGAGATCTCTATTGATTATGTCATGTCCTATATTAAATGGATCTGAAATCAAATCGACGTCAATGATTTTTTTTGCATGCAATGTAGCACTAGATATTATGAATGACAAAGAGTATAATGATCCAAAATCAATTGAGGAGTGTAGACAAAGATATGATTGGCCAAAATGGAAAGAAGCAATTGAAGCTGACTTGAAATCGCTAGCAAAAAGAAAAGTATTTGAACCAGTAATTCATACATCTATAGGTGTGAAACCAACAGGATACAAATGGGTCTTTGTGCATAAAAGAAATGAAAAATGAGAAATTGTGAGATATAAAGCACGTATGGTTACACAAGGATTCTCACAAAGACTTGGAATTGATTATGAGGAGACATATTCTCATGTGGTGGATGCAACTACATTTAGATTTTTGATAAGTCTAGCTATTTGTATGGTCCACTAGATACAAACATTTACATGAAACTCCCTGTGGAATTTAAACTGCTAGAAGCAGTTAATTCAAGTTCTCGAGAACATTATTTAATCAAATTGAATAAACCCCTCTATGGATTGAAGTAATCCGGACATATGAGGTATAATTGCCTAAGTGAGTTTTTATTAAAAAGGGTTCTAAGAATGATCATGTTTGCCCATGTATTTTTATTAAGAAGTCTGAAACTGGATACGTTCTTATTGTAATATATGTTGATGATTTAATTATCATTGGAACTCCTGAAGTGGTTCAAACTGTAGTTAATTGTTTGAAGAAATAATTCGAGATGAAAGACCTTGGAAAAATGAAATTTTGTTTGGGGTTACAAATTGAGCACCTAAAAGATGGAATCCTTGTGCATCAATCAACGTATATAGAAAAAGTGCTAAAGCAATTTTATAAGGATAAGGCACATCCAATGACTACCCCAATGGTTGTAAGAGCACTTGAACTGAGTAAAGATCATTTTCGTCCTCGGGAAGATGATGGAGTTTTTCTTGGTCCCGAAGTATCATACCTCGGTGGAATTGGAGCATTGATTTATCTTGTTATTCATACCCAACCTGATATATCATTTTTTGTAAATTTGCTGGAAAGATTTAACTCATGTCCAACTCAAAGACATTGGACTGGAGTTAAGCAAGTATTTCGTTTTTTCCAAGGCACAAAAGATATGGGTCTGTTTTTCTATAATAAATCCAAAACTGAGTTGATTGGTTTTGCAGATGTAGAATTTATGTCAGATCCTCATAATGGTAAATCATATATTGGATACGTTTGTATATATAATGGTATAGCAATCTCTTGGTGCTCAATGAAGCAAACGATTGAAACTACTTTTTTTAATCATGTAGAAATTTTAGCAATCCATGAAACTAGTCGTGAATATGTATGGCTAAGATCTATGATTCAGCACATATGGAATAACTGTGGTTTATCATCTTGAAAATAAGTTGCAACAATCTTGTTTGAAGATAATACAATATGTATTGAATAACTCAAGAGTGGATACATCAAAGGTGATAGAACAGAACACATTGTACCTGAATTCTTCTTCACTTATGACCTTCGGAAGCTTAAAGAGATAAAAGTTAATCAGATCAGCTCAAGTGAGAATTTGGAAGATTTATTCACTAAGGCACTTCTTACATCTGTGTTTCAAAAGTTAGTACACTATATTGGAATATGTCACCTTAAAGATCTCAAGTGATGTAACTATTAAAGAGAGTAAATACGCTTTGTACTCTTTTCCCCTTAACCTTGGTTTTTTCCTCTCGGTTTCTAGGTAAGGTTTTCAATGAGGCAACATATCAAGTGTATAATTATGTAATATTTTATTTCACTAGGTTTTTGTCCCACTGGGTTTTTCCTAGTAAAGTTTTTGTTGAAAACATTTTGATATTTCGATATAACAAATTAAGATAAATGAATTTTAAGATTTTCCAAAAGATTTTCTAAGTATATTCGATATAATTATTCGAATATCAAAATATTACTCCAAATCTTTCAAAAGTCATTTTTAATCCTTACTCAAGTGTAAAATTAAGTTTTAATCTTAAAATTATTTCAAAATAATTTTACAAAGTATTTCGAACCGTTTCAAAGCCAAAAATTCCAGAATGTCTAGAAGGAATCGATTCCCCCCTGAATGGTTTTGCTCCTAGAAATTCCAGTATGCTCGGAGGGAACCGATTCCCCCCAGGGGGTATCGATTCCCCCCACTGTTCAACGGTCGAATATTTGAATTTTAAACTTAGGGAACAAAATCCTCAGGAGGGGAACCGATTCCCCAGGAGGGGTACAGATTCCCCCCACGCTCCAAGCTATTGTATTAATGGTTTTCACACTTAAACGGCTCCATTGACTCCACTAATCATCCCCAACATTCAGAATCAATTGAGGGAGTATTTAAACAAGTTCTGAAGCCTTTGATCAATAAGAAATTATAGAGAAACAAGAGAGAAAGCATCAAACACCAAGTTTGTGCAAATCAAGCCAATTTTCCTTTCAATATTCATTTTGCTTTCAAGAACACCATTTGTAATTATTTTGGAGTGTTCTTTTCTTGTTCTAGAATTGTGCAAACAATCTACCTTGTGAGGATTTCCTTGTAAGTTTGCAAATTTGTAATCTTCTCTTTAGGAAAGAGTGTTCTCAAGAATTGGGGTATATTCTTGAGGGTGTTGTAAGGTTATCTCTTTGGCCTCAAAAGAAAGAACAAATTAGTGAATTTGTTGGAAAATCCTTAGTGTGGATAGTTAAGGTAGTGGACGTAGACTTTGATTGAGAAAGTTGAACCACTCTAAATCGCTGTGCAATTACTTTCAATTTTCTGCAAAAGCTTCCACCAAATTTTTAATTGCCAATTCACCCTCCTCTTGGCCAATTCCGTCAATCGATTAACTCAACAATTGGTATTAGAGCCTCACTCATTTGAAGGTTTAATCACCTCTTGAGTCGATCCGGGAAGAGTTAAATCGATAAAGATGGCGTCTACTTCCGGCTCATTCTCCATGGAAGAATCCAGACCTATTGACGTGCCTCCACACTTCAATGGAACAAATTATCATCATTGGAAGAGGTGTATGATGATATTCATCAAAGCATTTGATATAGAAGCTTGGATGATAATCAAGAAAGGATATTCCTCTCCTACTAAGAAGGCAAAGAAGTGGAGTGTTCAAGAACGGAAGGAAGCTCAACAAAACTCAAAGGCTATGCACATGTTGTGTTGTGCAATTGATCCTAATGCATATAAAGGAGTTTCTTCTTGTTCAAGTGCCAAGGAAATATGGGATAAGCTTGAGGAGATCTATAGAGATAATGAAGAAGAAGAACCAATAAAAGTGATGTCTCTATTAGCTCTCACACAGCCAAAGGTGTCTTCTAACTCAAATATATCAAATTCAAAATCTTTTAATGAGTTACAAGATGCTTATGATAAATTATTTTCGGAGTTTGAGACCATGAACTCCAAATACAATAAATTGATTTCTAAATTTATTGTTAAAAATGATCTTCTTTTGAAAGCTAAAATAGACTTGGAAAATCAAAATGAAATGTTGAGAAAAGAGTTAGAGCTTTCAAAAATAAAATCTGAAAACTTTGAAAAAGAAATTTTCAAATTAAACAAACTTATTCTAGAAATGAAAATGGATTTTGAAAATCAAAATGAAATCTTGAAGAAGGATTTAGAACTCTCAAAAATGAAATTTGAAAGTATTGAAAAAGAAAATTTCAACTTGAAAGATAAGCTTGAATGTTTAACAAGAGAAAAAGAGATCATTCTAAATAATTCATCTAGTTCA